GTATCTCGCGATACATGGCCCCATCCATCCTCCCCTCAATACGGTGCAGTCATCCTGTCCCCTTTGCAGAAAAGCATCCCCAAAGAATGATGTTTCCACCTCCATGCTTCACGGTTGGGATGGTGTTCTTGGGGTTGTACTCATCCTTCTTCTTCCTCCAAACACGGCGAGTGGAATTTAGACCAAAAAGCTCTATTTTTGTCTCAGACCACATGACCTTTTCCCATTCCTCCTCTGGATCATCCAGATGGTCATTGGCAAACTTCAGACGGGCCTGAACATGCGCTGGCTTGAGCAGGGGGACCTTGTGTGTGCTGCAGGATTTTAATCCATGACGGCGTAGTGTGTTACTAATGGTTTTCTTTGTGACTGTGGTCCCAGCTCTCTTCAGGTCATTGACCAGGTCCTGCCGTGTAGTTCTGGGCTGATCCCTCACCTTCCTCATGATCATTGATGCCCCACGAGATGAGATCTTGCATGGAGCCCCAGACCGAGGATGAATTGACCGTCATCTTGAACTTCTTCCATTTTCTAATAATTGCGCCAACAGTTGTTGCCTTCTCACCAAGCTGCTTGCCTATTGTCCTGTAGCCCATCCCAGCCTTGTGCAGGTCTACAATTTTATCCCTGATGTCCTTACACAGCTCTCTGGTCTTGGCCATTGTGGAGAGGTTGGAGTCTGTTTGATTGAGTGTGTGGACAGGTGTCTTTTATACAGGTAACGGAATTCTTACTGGTTGGTAGGTGATCAAATACTTATGTCATGCAATAAAATGCAAATTAATTACTTAAAAATCATACAATGTGATTTTCTGGATTTTTGTTTTAGATTCCGTCTCTCACAGTTGAAGTGTACCTATGATAAAAAAATTACAGACCTCTACATGCTTTGTAAGTAGGAAAACCTGCAAAATCGGCAGTGTATCAAATACTTGTTCTCCCCACTGTATATGATTACACTTTGATAAGAAACATATATATGATTACACCTTGATAAGAAACATGGTCACTGAGCGGGTAAACAAGAAAAAAATATACAAATAAACCAAATATAAACATAAAATAAATGAATCAATATTGGTAATATACGGTAATGGGTGATTGGATTTGCTAAACCGAACCTCCATTCACAGAAGCAGGTCATCAACACACCACTGTTACAGTTTTAATGTTACTTTGACAACAAGGTTTCTACCAAATCAGCTTTGAGTCCTTCCTCATGACAGCTAGATGGAGAATTCATTTCCCCCGTTATTTATACATGAGCATCAATGTCAACAACCACATCATCATCATCATCATCATCATCATCATCACTACAGTCCCCTATCAGTGATAATATGATGTTATTGGTTTCTCTCTCCAATGTTGTTTCAGTGCTGGGAGACCCATGTCCCAGCTACCCCTTTGATTCTGGGTATGTTTCTATACACAAGGATGAGTCAGCATTTGAAGGCTGGAAAGTTCTGTGTCTCCTGTAGTTCCCGGTGAGGTCACTTCTTAGTTAGATGACCTTTGACCTCTCACCTCTGACCTTGGCTAAAGCTGATTGGCTCCTGCAGTACACACAGGAAGTGTTACCCGGCAACTGCAGAGTCAGCAGAAAGACTCCACACATGCACCGGTCATAGACAGGTACACTTACTGACACGTCTGATGCCCAGGTACATCTGACCTGTAACTCCTGACAGCTGTCTTACACCTGGACAAAGTCTTCCAGTCAGTAGCACCGCACCTGGCCTCCTCCGCTCTCCTCAGTCCCCTCATCTCCCCCCATTCCCACAGAGGGAGCAGGGTCAGTCGGGTGGACTGTTGGCTCCAAGCACCCCCTTTCATTTACCTACACAAGAGGATAAGAGCTGAGGACTATGGTTCTCTACCTTCACCTGGCTGGTGGAGCCCCCTGCTGGTGTGGTGGAGGAAGTGCAGCTATATTACATTACATTACATTACACGGTAGTCTCATACTCCATGACCTCCTTGGGGTTGCTCAGGCTACGGTACTGGATCCTGGGCGTCACTGGGGACGTGTTCTCCAGGACCAGGATGGTCTTCCGCAGCCGCCTGTCGATGAAGTGAGCGTCCCAGGCAGGGTACCTCTTTCTGGGCAGGTCTATCCGGATCACTGGTCCCTCTGTCCTGGGGGTCCGGAGGGCCATGGCCGGTGAGGTGTTGGTGGTGGATCTAACCTGGAACACAGCTAGATCACCTGGTACCACCTCGCCCCGGTCCGCACCTGCAGTCCTAGTTAGGGTCCTGGGGGGGCTGGTGACCACGTCCGGGGGCGGGAGTGGGGAGGCCTCGGCTGGGGTCACACAGGACTCCACCATCACCCCCCCCTCCTCCACACACCCCCTCCACTGAGCTCCGAACACCGGCCCGTCAGGGTGAAGCAGGCAATAATACACCAGCATGAAGAAGGTCCCCAGAGCATAGCTACACACCACCACACACACCACGATGAGGGCGTAAAAGTCTGAGGTGTGCGGCCCGCGGTAAAGGTACCACGCCGCGGTGAGAGACACGTTCTCTACCAGAGTCACTGAATAATAGAGCCACATCCTGAAGCGGGTGCGGCCCTCCTTGACGTTGAACCAGCAGAAGATGTAGATGATACCCACCACCATGTTATAGATGATCTCCTCCCACTTGGACATGCAGAAGTCTGTCTCCCCCTGGATGATCCAGAACGTCATGATGCACCAGTGGCTCACGATGAAGATACTGAAGTAGAGCTGGGAGATAGAGAGGGAGGGAGAAGGGGGGAGGAAAGAGAAGAGAGGAAGAGAGACAGAGAAAGGGTTAGATTAAGAAACTGGGAGGAACAGAGAGACACTCATTAGAAAAAGCCTAACCCACTTGAATAAAGATATCTGCACAGATGAATGCTTCCACAGTTAATTGTGCAATGTTTTTACTCCACAAAAATATGTTTTTTCTCCCCAGCCTGACGGAGACCTTCGGATCGAAACGTTGCAAAATAAACGTATCAGTATCTATCTTCATTTCATGAGTATATTATTTGTACCCAGCACCTAAAAGCCCCTTGGATGGGTCTACTTGTGATCCTTCGTCAGTGTGTGTGTGTGCCCCCCTTTACCTGGAACACGGAGGCGAACAGGGCGAAGGCGATGGTCCTGGCCCCAATGGTGAAGAAATGCCACAGCATCTGGACGATCACAGCCTTGTAGGACATCGGCAGCTTGTCATCTCTGGAGTCTCTTAGAGTCTTCTGGTAGGACGCTATCATCCAGGCCAGAGAGACCAACGAGGCTGAAGCAGAGAGACCTTGGGGACAGGGGGGAGAAAGGAGGATGAATATACAAATGATTCAAATTGTCACGCCCTGACCTGGAGAGACTGTTATTCTCTAGGTAGTTTGGTCAGGGTGTGAAAGTCTAGGTGTTGTATTTCTGTGTTTGGCCGGGTGTGGTACCCAATCAGAGGCAGCTGTCGCTCGTTGTCTCTGATTGGGGATCATACTTAGGCAGCCTGTTTTCCTGCCTGGGTTGTGGGATCTTGTTTGTGTTTCGGTGTGTTGGGCTTGTTTATTGTTTATAAATACCACGGCGCGCCTTGGTCTAATCCGTCTCTCAACGATCGTGACACAAATTTAAATGCAAATGTCCCAAATTATCGACACCCTTGATAAAGATGAACAAAAATTGAAAAAAAGTAATTCAAATATGTATAATATTTTAAAATATGTATGCAAAACAAATTGTACATTATATTGTTTTATACTATTACAGAGAAAGAGATTTTGTTTAACAAGTAATCCTTTTTTTCTCAAAAAAAGTGGGGGTCAAGATTATTGACACCCCTGTTTTCAAAACCTTTCAATACCTCACCTTGGCAGGATAACGGCACTGAGCCTTTTTCTGAATGTTTTATGAGTTGGATAACACCCTGGAAGTGATGTTAGACCATTCCTCTATACAGAATCCTTTTCTGCTCATGCGTTCTTATTTTCACGCCAAACCCACCACTGGTGGCCAAAGAGCTCAACAAATGGCACTTGGATTTGGAACCGGTGCATTGGTGCATTTGGCGTCGATGTACTTGGCCGTACGCACTACCCTCTGTAGCGCCTTGCGGTCGGATGCCAAGCAGTTGCCGTACCAAGCGGTGATGCAGCCAGTCAAGATGCTCTCAATGGTGCAGCTGTATAACTTTTTGAGGATCTGAGTGCCAAATCTTTTCAGCCTCCTGAGGGGGAAGAGGCGATGTCGTGCCCTCTTCACGACTGTGTGGGTGTGTGTGGACATTATAAATCCTTAGGGATGTGGACATCAAGGAACTTGAAGCTGCAGCCCCGTCGATGTGGATGGGGGGCGTACTCGGACCTATGTTTCCTGTAGTCCACGATCAGCTTCTTTGTCTTGCTGACGTTGAGGGAGAAGTTGTTGTCATGGCACCACACTGCCAGGTCTCTGACCTCCTCCCTTTAGGCTGTCTCATCGTCGTCGGTGATCAGGCCTGCCACCTTCGTGTCGTCAGCAAACTTAATGATGATGTTGGAGTCGCGAGTGGCCACGCAGTCGTGGGTGAACAGGGAGTACAGGAGGGGACTGAGCACGCACCCCTAAGGGGCCCCCGGGGGTCAGCGTGGCAGATGTGCCCGTCAGGAAGTCCAGGATCCAGTTGCAGATGGAGGTGTTTAATCCCAATTTAGCTTAGTTATGAGCTTTAAGGGCACTATGGTGTTGAACGCTGAGCTGTCGTCAATGAACAGCATTCTCACATACAGTGAGCGAAAAAAGTATTTGATCCCCTGCTGATTTTGTACTTTGCCCACTGACAAAGACATGATCAGTCTATAATTTTAATGGTAGGTTTATTTGAACAGTGAGAGACAGAATAACAACAAAAAAATCCAGAAAAACGCATGTCAAAAATGTTATAAATTGAATTGCATTTTAATGAGGGAAATAAGTATTTGACCCCTCTGCAAAACATGACTTAGTACTTGGTGGCAAAACCCTTGTTGGCTATCACAGAGGTCAGACGTTTCTTGTAGTTGGCCACCAGGTTTGCACACATCTCAGGAGGGATTTTGTTCCACTCCTCTTTGCAGATCTTCTCCAAGTCATTAAGGTTTCGAGGCTGACGTTTGGCAACTCGAACCTTCAGCTCCCTCCACAGATTTTCTATGGGATTAAGGTCTGGAGACTGGCTAGGCCACTCCAGGACCTTAATGTGCTTCTTCTTGAGCCACTCCTTTGTTGCCTTGGCCGTGTGTTTTGGGTCATTGTCATGCTGGAATACCCATCCACGACCCATTTTCAATGCCCTGGCTGAGGGAAGGAGGTTCTCACCCAAGATTTGATGGTACATGGCCCCGTCCATCGTCCCTTTGATGCAGTGAAGTTGTCCTGTCCCCTTAGCAGAAAAACACCCCCAAAGCATAATGTTTCCACCTCCATGTTTGACGGTGGGGATGGTGTTCTTGGGGTCATAGGCAGCATTCCTCCTCCTCCAAACACGGCGATTTGAGTTGATGCCAAAGAGCTCGATTTTGGTCTCATCTGACCACAACACTTTCACCCAGTTCTCCTCTGAATCATTCAGATGTTCATTGGCAAACTTCAGACGGCCCTGTATATGTGCTTTCTTGAGCAGGGGAACCTTGCGGGCGCTGCAGGATTTCAGTCCTTCACGGCGTAGTGTGTTACCAATTGTTTTCTTGGTGACTATGGTCCCAGCTGCCTTGAGATTATTGACAAGATCCTCCCGTGTAGTTCTGGGCTGATTCCTCACCGTTCTCATGATCATTGCAACTCCACGAGGTGAGATCTTGCATGGAGCCCCAGGCCGAGGGAGATTGACAGTTATTTGGTGTTTCTTCCATTTGCAAATAATCGCACCAACTGTTGTCACCTTCTCACCAAGCTGCTTGGCGATGGTCTTGATGCTCATTTCAGCCTTGCGTAGGTCTACAATCTTGTCCCTGACATCCTTGGAGAGCTCTTTGGTCTTGGCCATGGTGGAGCGTTTGAAATCTGATTGATTGATTGCTTCTGTGGACAGGTGTCATTTATATAGGTAACAAACTGAGATTAGGAGCACTCCCTTTAAGAGTGTGCTCCTAATCTCAGCTCGTTACCTGTATAAAAGACACCTGGGAGCCAGAAGTCTTTCTGATTGAGAGGGGGTCAAATACTTATTTCCCTCATTAAAATGCAAATCAATTTATAACATTTTTGACATGCGTTTTTCTGGATTTTTTTGTTGTTATTCTGTCTCTCACTGTTCAAATAAACCTACCATTAAAATTATAGACTGATAATTTCTTTGTCAGTGGGCAAACTTACAAAATCAGCAGGGGATCAAATAAATATTTTTTTCCCTCACTGTAGGTGTTTATTTTGTCCAGGGGCAGTGTGGAGTGCAGATGTGTGGATCTGTTGGGGTTGTATGTTCATCCCAGGGTGTTTGGGATGATGGTGTTGATGTTAGCCATGACCAGCCTTTATTACTACAGATGTGAGTGCTACGGGGTGGTAGTCATTTAGAGAGGTTACCTTGGCATTCTTGGGTACATGGACTATAGTGGTCTGCTTGGAACATGTAGGTATTACAGACTGGGTCAGGGAGAGGTTGAAAATGTCAGTGAAGACACTTGCCAGCTGGTCAGCGCATGCTCTGAGTACGCGTCCTGGTAATCCGTCTGGCCCTGTGGCCTTGTGAATGTTGACCTGTTGAAAGATCTTACTCACATCGGCTACGGAGAGCGTGATCACACAGTCAGCCGGAACAGCTGGTGCTCTCATGCATGGTTCAGTGTTGCTAGCCTCGAAGCGGGCATAGAACGTATTTAGTTCATCTGGTAGGGTCGGGCTTCTGGTTGGGATATGTACTTACGGTCACAGTGGGGACGACATCGTCAGATTTGCCAAATGGAGGGATTAAGATAATCAGATAATCTCTGTGGATTAAAGGTGATCTAGAGTTTTTTTCACCTTTAGTTGCACAGGTGACGTGCTGGTAGAAATGAGGTAAAACAGATTTCAGTTTCGATTGTGTGCGTATGTTCGCGTGTACCACTCCTTTTTTGGGGGTCGCGGGTCAAAACGTTTGTAAACCACTGGAATACATGATAATGGCAACAAATGTCATAGTAATGATATAATAATGGTAGATAAAGTATTTCTTACAACCTATTTCGACTGGAGTTGTGTTGGTCATTGTTAATAAGTGCATTATTTATTCCAGGTCAAAATAGCTTTGCAAAATACGTTACTCATCAGATGGTGCTGCTTTCCCCTCTTCTTGTAACAAATGCTCAACGAGTCGGTGACAGCGTTTTGCGGGGAAAAATAAATTGGGGGTGCCCTTTTTTGTTGTTGAGCACATGCCCCCCAATAGGTCTGTGCACAGCCCTGCACACACACACACACACACTTGATCTCAGACAGAACTGAACAGTTTTGGACTTTCCTAAAAGCCAGATGTGTCTGGAGTAATCAACCTACTTAGCAAAATTACATATTTTTTTTTTAGTTCAGCTTTTTTTATGAATTTAGATGCGATTCATTACTATAGCGATTAAATTATTAATGTTTTCCAAAATGAATATTTAATAAAGTTAAATTTCTAACAGAGTCAGTCGCCGTCACAGAGAGAAAAGCACACAAGCAAGTTTTTTAATATGTACAGTGGCTTGCGAAAGTATTCATCCCCCTTGGCATTTTTCCTATTTTGTTGCCTTACAACCTGGAATTAAACATGTTGGGGGGTTTGAATCATTTGATTTACACAACATGCCTACCACTTTGAAGATGCAAAATAAAAAAAATGGTGAAACAAACAAGAAATAAGACACAAAAACTGAAGACTTGAGCTTGCATAACTATTCACCCCCCCCCAAAGTCAATACTTTGTAGAGCCACCTTTTGCAGCAATTACAGCTGCAAGTCTCTTGGGGTATGTCTCTATAAGCTTGGCACATCTAGCCACTGGGATTTTTGCCCATTCTTCAAGGCAAAACTGCTCCAGCTCCTTCAAGTTGGATGGCTAACGCTGGTGTACAGCAATCTTTAAGTCATACCACAGATTCTCAATTGGATTGAGGTCTGGGCTTTGACTAGGCCATTCCAAGACATTTCAATTTTTCCCCTTAAACCACTCGAGTGTCGCTTTAGCAGTATGCTTAGGGTCATTGTGCTGCTGGAAGGTGAACCTCCGTCCCAGTCTCAAATCTCTGGAAGACTGAAACAGGTTTCCCTCAAGAATTTCCCCGTATTTAGC